TCAGGACATAACTAGTAAAACCAGCTGACAAAGGGCAAACACTCCTTAACTGCCACTATCGAATACATGTTGCTTACTTTTGAGACTCACCTCTCTAAAGACTGCTTTTGTCTTGATCAACTAGTTGAGTTACTGGCACGCTCTGCAGTAGGGGAAACTTTTTAATTTTTTTTCGCACCCTTGATTCTGTGGACAGCAAGTGCCAGAATAGCGCTTCCATACTGTGCTTAAGGAAAATCACTTTTAAATAAAGTTAACAAAAAATTAGAGTGCAGCTCCCAGTTTTGTGAGTTTTGTGTATAACAAGGACAAACTAAAAGACATCCTCCGATCCTTTGTTGATTTCTCCACGCGATCGCGCGTCCCCAGCATACCAGTGCCAGAGCCATTGGCAGAGCGCCCTGCTAGCCACCCGACCAGGGCTACCACCAGCTATCGCAACGTCACGCTGAGACGACCCCACCTACCCCGAGAACTTTGACCTGAAGGGGGCTGAGACAGCACGAGCCAACATCCCATGCGTGGCGACGAAGAGGTAAGTGCCCTGGTGCGGCACAGAGGATACCCATAAGACATGATTGAACTCCCCCGATAGGGCGGCCCAGCAATGTATCATCCAGCACACATTCCACCCGTGCTTCATGGCTTGCAGGCTGGCACACCACAGTGGGATACACATAAATGCTCTGCTCATAAACAGTACGGGTTTAAAACCTTCACCTCCATTAGGTGCAAGACCTCTGCTTTTCACTGGATCTAAACCGACCCAGGAAAGGAACCGATGCTGGAGACCGCATCCAACCTAATCCACTCCCTGCGCGCTGCCTGCCTCAGAGGCAGAATTGGGTGACGTCACTTCGACTGCAATTAGATACATCGGCATAATTAAAAAGTGAAATATCACCTCTGAGCATCAAAAAGCTGTACAGGGCCAAGCATTCAGCTGTCAAAGTCGCCATCTTTACTTGTTTATGATGTACTGTTGTTTTAGAAGCATTAATGACTGACGCATGTTTTTTGCACACTCCTTCAATCTACTCTGATTAAAGATAAGTATTCTTTAAATAGTCCCACAATGGGGACAATTCCACTCCATCAATCACAGCACAAAGTGGATTACGAGCCAAAAAAAACCAGTATAAAGCACAGTCAATAAAAACAAAAAAACAAGGTAAGAGTATGAAAAACATAATGATACATGACTAACACCTGTACAGAGAGTAAACCAACAGTAAACCAAACCACAACAACCAGAAACACCAATAACACAAATAAGCAACAAAATACTAGCACCCAAGTCTGCCAACATGGGCAATCAGAACTTGCACAGTAACTTATGTCGCTGCGGTCCATGGTGATTCATTGCACAGGTTGTTGATTGACAAAATTATTATCTATCCTATGTGAATGACGTGCTTAAACAGTCTGACAGCAAGCACGGAACGCGAGGCGCCACACACACACACACACACGCGAGTCAACTCTCCTCACACATTTGGGGTGAAGGAGTCCTGTCACTGAAGGAGCTTGCTCAGTGCAGGTGCGCATGGGGGGTTTTCTTTCTCTCCTGATGGGGTGGAAACCATTGTCCACCCGCTGATGATCAGCCCTTTGCTATCCACTACCTCCTCATCTCCACCACGCATGCACTGAGTCGCGAGGCGGGCCAACCCCAGCGAACAGAGCCTCGCCTTAAAAGTCTTTTGATTAAACGCCTTTTATTCCTTTTCCGCCTCTGGGTACTGCTCTCCAGGTGCCCATGATACCCTGTCTTCTTTCGGCTTTTATACCACCCACCCCCACCGTCAGGTGTCTGAGATTTATACCTCTACAATTTTTTTTTTTTTTTTTTTTTTGCAATATTCAGCAGCAATGTCAGCAATATCTTACTAGAAACAGTGTCCCCATTGCTCAGGATAATCTACAGTTTTTGTTGGAACCACTCTCTACTACAGAAATAGTTCAGAAGAAAACTGAAACTGGTTGACAGTGAGGTTGAATTAAAACAGAATAATTGGTTGCCTTATATATTAACTTCACACCAACGAGGAGTCAGTCATCATGTAATAACTGCAGTCATTGCCTTCCCTTAAGCACTGGCCAGCTGCCTTCATGAAATGTATTACCCACAATCTAATTATAATAAATCAGTATTCTGTGTTTGGGTGTATATTAATATATTTACTCATTTGTTGACACTAGAAGACCACCTTCCAGGAGAGATGGTCTAAAAATGTGTGGCATATTTAAATGATTATTGCGTACGAGTGTGGCAGTTTGGAGCATCTTTAAATAATCTGACCTTCCTCTAACCCATGTTCCTCCTCTTCTGCTATTCCACAGGAAGTGATGGCTGGCGGCTGTACGAGTACATCACACGCAATTTCATTGCCACTGTGAGTCAGGACTGCAAGTACCTCCAGACCACCATAGACTTCACCATCGGCACAGAGGCCTTCTCATGTAGTGGCAAAACCCTGATATCAGCAGGTAAAGCCAGCAGGCAACATATTCAGCTCACTTCTTGAATACCAAGCTGCGCCTTTTATTACATTTGTAACTCCAAATAGGCAGCAGTCATTTATCAGTAGTTTGCTACTAGCGAGCTCAAGTTGCTGTGAGTTAAATAAAATTAATAAAGCAGCCACAGCAACTACACAGAGAGCAACATGGAACTAATGCGTGTACTGAAAGGAGATTAAGAGGTAGAAACAGTGCCTGGACGCCGGTAATAGATGCTTCCCAGGACCAGTACAATAGACATCTACAAACAAGCAGCGCAGTGAGAATACACACCGCATTTCATGGAGGAGATGAACTTCAGCTATATAATGTGGATCACTGTTACAGAGACTCCAGTCTGCACTGTAGTTCATACAGTACATACATAAGTTTTTATGTCACGTCAAAATGTCTCTCCATATTTGCATGCTCGCTCTCTCTTTCTCTCTCTCTCTCTGCTGCAAATCTGCATCACATACCCTACTTCCTGGGTCCACGTACCAGGTGCACAGCTAATATAAGACTTGAAGTGAAGTGAAAAACACACCCCCAACCCAACATTTGATAAAATGTTGTGTAGTAATGATGAACTGCAAAAGATTAAATTGATTTTCATTTCAAAACAATGACACAACATACCTCAAATTACAAAACATTATGCCAAGTTTTGCTAATTGACCTAACGTCGGCTTGGTTTGCAAAATCCGATCTTGACATATTTCTTCATGTATGCATATAATATATTTTCAGTTAAGTTCAGTGTGTCATTTGTCCCGCTAGAACAGCTTTGTCATGCTACAGTGACTCTATTTACATAGTTGATTGATTTATATTGCTATAGATGTTTGTTTGCAACTGATGTATATATTGACTATTGTATATATGTAATAATACATGTCTGGAGGGAATCTTTAATTTAGCCGGTGCAGCCCAATCCTTGCTAAGTGTATATTCTGTTCACAGGATACACAACAGTGATGCCATGGCAGGGCATCCCTCTGGAAGAGGCCATGCCAGTTTGTGAGCGCGGAGACACTTTCACGATAGATGAGATCAAGCTGGTGGAAAAGCAGACTAGCCCCCCAGACTACCTGACCGAGGCTGAACTCATCACCCTCATGGAGAAACATGGCGTTGGTATACCTCACATGTTATCTGAAGGAGGGCATGGATTTGAGACACTTGCATCAAAATCAACAAACTTATGACTTAAAATATGGTCAGGATATCTTCATATGTCTCGCTTTGGTCATATTTGGACTCAACATCCAAAAAAACACAGAAGGACTGCAGTAACTATTTGATGCCAGTCACTAAGGCAGTCCTTTCTTGGTTACCTAAGACAATCTCGGCTGATTAGGTCTTTTAATGAGCTAATTGAGTCAATACATATTTCTCGATTCTGGTCTTTAGTATACATTCATTCATTCATTCATTTTGTCCTCTGTCCTTCAGGTACTGATGCCAGTATCCCTGTCCACATCAACAACATCTGTCAGAGGAACTATGTGACAGTAGAGAATGGGCGCAAGTTGAAGCCAACCAACCTGGGCATTGTCCTGGTACATGGCTACTACAAGACAGGTGATTGGTCTTATATTGTACATTCTCTTAGGGATTTGTAGTTATACATTGATTGCGGGTTTGTAGAACATTGCTGAATCATCTTTGGACATTATATCAATTGTTTTCGATGTCATCCAGTGAATATAAGACCGCTTTTTAAGGTCTTCATTGATATCCACTTAAAAATGTACAGGGGCAGAATTTCAGTCTTGCTATTATTGAATCTCAGTGCTGCATTTCGCACTGTTGACCACAAAATATTACTAGACCCACTGGAAAACTGGGTGGGACTTTCTGGCACAGTACTGAACTCTACTTTGTATCTATAGGTAATTTCATATCTGAGCAGACAAAAATGACATGCGGAGTTCCCCACCGCTCCATTCTGGGGTCTCTTCTGTTCTGTTCTGTTCATCTCCCTGCCCCACTAGTTTAGATTATGGAAAACAATAAAATATGTTACCATAACTATGCAGATGACATACAAATGTACATAGCCATATTACCAGGAGACTATAAACCCATACATGTGCTGAGTAAGTACATTGAATGAATCAAAGATTGGAAAATAAAAAACTGAACTAAACTGACACTACAGTGTTTTTGGAGTAATGAAGAACAATTTTTTATTCTCCTGTTTTTTTGTTTTTGTTTATCTTTTTAATTGGCTGGTCCTAGGTTGCTTTTATGATGCACTCTGAATTGTTGTTGAAATATGCAAATAAACTTACATGGCCTTGATGCAGGTGGGCCCGTATAGTCAACACTTAAGGGCATGAGTCCAGACAGAACAGTCCAGTTAATCAAAATACACGAGCCACTTTATGAGTAACAATTGAAATTTTTGAAGTGGCTTTTATAGAATGCATTAAAACGTGTGTGTGTGTGTGTTGCAGATGCAGAACTCGTGCTGCCCACCATACGCAGTGCTGTGGAGAAGCAGCTGAACCTCATCGCGCTGGGTAAGGCCAACTATCAGCAGGTCCTGCAGCACACACTGGATATCTTCAAGAGGAAGTTTCACTACTTTGTGGATTCTATCACCAGTAAGTACACTGCAGCCTCAGGAGCACAGTGTCACAAGCACCTTTAAGGGGTTGTCTGCAAAAAAGGGGAGCAGTGATGATGGCTTTTTAAATTGATAACAGATTCAGTTACAACTGAAATCTTAAGTTATACAGCTACAAGTTGAGACAAGGCAACTACACGTTGACTATGTATGTGTAAAGAGGACAAACATACAGGTAATTATCGTCAAGTTCTGTACATTATTTTGTGTGAGCTATTCTGGTGAAAATTAGCAAAAATGGTAAAAACATTTGGATCAAGTCAATAACAATGATGTGTTATAATTCAGTAGCAACGTTTGAAAGGTGGAAGTGAATGCAAGAGAAGATACAGCAAAGAGTTAAGGTTTTAATGGAAATATTATTTATATTATGTTACTGTTTGGTTTATTTCTATGCAACTCCATCCACAGATACTGTATCTGTCTGTTGTGTTTTACAGGCATGGATGAGTTGATGGAGGTCTCCTTTTCACCCATTGCTGCCACTGGGAAGCCCCTTTCCCGTTGTGGCAAGTGCCGTCGCTTCATGAAGTACATACAGGTCAGCAGAACAGTCAAAACTACTGTGATATATGAAGAAAGCATGTATGTTATTTTGAAAAGGGGCAGTGTCAAAGGTTAACAATGTATGTACCCAAATAGAAGACACCTTTTGCAAGTGTGGGAAGTGTTAGATATTAGTTTGTTACGCTTTGTTACCCTGTTTCATTGTCATTATCCATTGTTGCTCACTTCTGTTGTGTTGTGGCTTTTGCAGTTTGTTGATGCCTCTCGGCCACCATACAATGGGTACTCACAACCAATTTTGTGAAAAAGCATGTTGCATTCTTGACTGGATGAAATAAGAGTAGAGGGTACAGGGTACCTCTGATGGCTGTGGTTAAGTGCCAATGGCGTGGCCTGCTTTAACACTAGGATCAGGCCCAATCAGCCTCTGCCTCTTGCTAGCCTACAGAGCTGCCATGTATTGAGGCGCACTGGTAGCTCACCTTGTAGAGCTGACACTCCATGTACCAGGGCCGAGTCCTTGCTGCAGCTGCAATGGGTCCGACCTGTGGCCCTTTGCTGCGTGTCATCCCCTCTCTCTCTTCCCTTAGCAGTCTATCTTGAGCTGTCTTATCAATAAAGGCTAAAAGACTAAAACAAAGGAGCTGCCATGTGTTCCCTTACGTAGCACTGGTTTTCATTGTTGAGTAGCTGAAAATGTTGTTTGATGGGGTAAAGGGATAGGAAATATCTTGACGTTCTGCCTTTCGATATATGTTTGGCTTATACTGGTTGAAACGTAAACTTTGGAATCCAGCAACCAGGAAATTAATCAGCAACATCTTTCTTAGACATTATTACAGCCACGTGCTTATTTTGTCCACCCCCAGACACTTTGTGTAAGTGTTGTTACACACTGTTATTGCTCATAGGTTTTTACTTTTAAATCATCAAGGCACCATTTATCTTTTCTGAACCACGTCATGTCTAGCCTTCAAAGTTGAAAATGCTAAAGTAGACATGCTCCATTCATTACCATTTCTATCTGATGTCAGAGCCACTCTTAAATTCATGAATGAATCATGAGGCTGTAAAGCTTGTGGTCCTTGTATCTGAATACATGTGTATGGGGGGGGTACTATTTAAGGTGAGGAACTCACATGTTTGGATTGCTCCATGTGCGCTGGGGATGTACGTGTGTTTGGTTTGGCGTCAATACAGAGAATGTGCTTTAGTAACACTACATTTTCTTCATACATACAGTGGCTTCAGAAAGTAGATTGACCCATTCACTTTTACCACCCTTCATGGTGTTATAGACAAACTACCAGGTCTAGGTGCCTGCAAATGCATGCAAATGGTTGATAAGAAGAGAGCAGGTTAGGGTTGTGCCGATGGACGATATCATCATCCATCGTGATGGCTGACCGACATCACGATGGAGAGCCACCATCGTGATGCCACGTCCCCCACCCCATGTGCACAGATGGCAGTAGGGATGGGGGGGGATATGACCCCCTCAGAGTTCATATGACGCCCACTGTCCTACATAAGGTGACAAACATCGCCGGAAAAGGAGGATTAATTTCCGTTAGTTAGACTAATTTAATGCAGCGTGCATTGAGAGCCGGCTGTTGGTGCTACGACTAAGTGGGCGTTCCAGTTGTGCACGAATGTCGTGAATTTCCGAGCTCCAAGTCAGAATTTTAATCAGAACCCCCCGTGAAGTCGGATCTCCAACTCAGAAAATCGGATTAATCTCACCAGCCAGACATAGAATTCATGCATCATCTGCTACTCACGTAAACAGCAGTTACATGTTTTTTGTACGTTTGTGAGGCTGGGAAGCGATGGGAACACTCAACTTTGGGGTTACGTTGTTCCGAGCTCAAGTTCCGACTTCAGTGTAAATTGAACACACCATAAGTAAGTAGTAGTAACTTTTATTTTATTTTAACTAGTAAAATAAAAAGTGCTTACCCCCCCACAACGATTTCATCGTCCATCGCGATATTTTACTGTAAACATCATCAACTGCCAATTTAGGGGACATCGCCCAACCCTAGAGCAGGTGTCAGGCCTTCATTTGTTGTTTATGATATAAAAAGGTAAAGAAACTGCTGTAAGTGTGTAGGACTTAGTGGCATCTAGCGTTTTAGTTTCAGATTGCAGCTCCCTCACTTCACCCCCTCCCCTTCTATGACTAAATGAGAAACTGGCCACAGCTGTTTTGCCTTACAGGGTATTGAACGTTCAGGTTATGGAGGGCTCCAGGCTTTGGTTCATTAAGTTCCCTTAGTGAAAAAAGCCATACATGGGTACAAGATTGTATTGTCAGCAATCGTCAGTGAAGACTTGATGTTGTTTCAACTGTTCAATCTATAGAATGCACTTAATTTGATCTTGACATGTATTCGCAGGCCAAGCCTAGCCGGCTCCACTGTTCCCACTGTGATGAGACCTACAGTCTTCCCCAGAATGGAGCCATCAAGCTGTACAAAGAGCTCCGCTGTCCACTAGATGAGTTTGAGCTTGTGTTGTGGACATCTGGGGCCCGGGGCAAGAGCTACCCCCTGTGCCCCTACTGCTTCAGCAATCCGCCTTTCAGGGACATGAAGAAAGGTAGGACGAAACCTGAACTTTAACTTATGGTAATTCTTGTATTTGTTGGATAGTGGCTAATTACCTAGAGATTTGTGGCTCTGACAGCAAATGTAAAACCAGCCCTAACACGAGTCAGTCATCTTTGTACAAGTTTGGAAGATGATGAATTATCGTGGAAAATGATGGCCTTTTTCAAAAACCTTTTAAGGGTCTTTTATAGAAACCAAGCACATTTAAGTTCCGCCCACAATGGAGGGGAAAACAATTAAACTCCGCTCTGACTCTCTCTCTACCATTAGAGTGTGCATTTTGATTTGTGTTATTATGTAATTTCATCTCCTTCACTCAGAATGAGTGGAGGTCAGTACCAGGTTCAGTCCAGGAGCTGACTGCGTAATGAGCTGCTGTCTTAGTAAATCAGACACTCAATAGATGCAGATTGTGGCCACAAATCAAACCACACATTTGCACATTTTCTTTATAAATCTGGCCTTTAGCCTTAGTCTTTATAGCCGTCTAACCCCTTCTTTTCATGTCTGCTTTTCCAAGGTATGGGATGCAATGAATGTACCCATCCGTCCTGTCAGCACTCTCTCAACTCTTTTGGTATTGGACAGTGTGTGGAATGTGAAAGTGGTGTTTTGGTGCTGGATCCCACCTCTGGACCGAAGTGGAGGATGGCCTGTAACAAATGCAACGTGGTGGTGCACTTCTTTGAACATGCACACAGAGTTCAGGTAAGAAAATAGTCCTACATCTTGTCCTAGGCACAAATATAATATTTTATATTTATATAATACTTTATATGGCCATAACAGCAAAGACGTGTAGCGTTTGAAAATCCAAATATCTGCATATCTGCCTCCTCTCATGTGCAATAAAATGCACAAAAACACATTTTTGCAGCTGAATTCAAAAGAAAAGTATGGCTTCCATACCCTGTCTGTGGCTCTCAGCCCCAAGAAACATTTATTTTTCATTTATTTTACCTTTATTTTACCCAGTAAGACATTAAGAACAAGTTATTATTTACAGTGATGACCTGGCAAGTGCCACAATACGCCTGTAGAGGGGAAATAGGGGACAAACAAAATCATAACACAAAAAAAGTGACTAAATAATCAAAACAACAGCAGTAAAAAGTTTTTAAAAAATTAACGTCATTAAACAAATTCTTAGGTAGACCCTTCATCCTCAAAAACCTGGAAAAGCTAGAAATTTAGAGACTAATTTTCCAGTCATGGAAAGACCTGGAAGTGGATTAAAATTCCGAAAAATCCTGGACATTTTTGTATTTTAGCCCTTCACTCAGATCTCCTACATAAACCAAGGTGTGTATTTTGTTAGAAAGAGTGGGATTGATTTGCAGTGATCTTTTAGAGATCGAGTCTATATTTTCCAGAGCAAAATTCTCATATCTCCATGCTTACAGCCTATAATGGTGCAATGAACACTAATATTATAAGATGAATTTTCTGTAAAATAAAATCAATTCTACTTAATTTGAACTGTTACTTATGGGCTGTGATGTACTCGATTTGCCCGAAACCGCCGTCCGTAAGTGCTGTCCTGTATTGTCAGACTATGATATACTGCTGTAATAAACATTTCAAACGTGAGTTGTCTGACTGAATTGTGTCTGGCAGCAGATGTAAAAGAGGAACAATTTCTGTATAGGAAACCAAGTTTTGCCTTGACCTTCAACTGCAACATGATGACATGTTTAGACACGGACAATGCACTAGTGCTATTTATCTAGATTCCTTAAGTATTTATAATCCGTAACCTGCTGTAGGATTGTTCCATCTCTAGACATAGTGCCCTTCGATCAAACCACATCTATCGAAACATCTCGCAAACATATAGTTTAATTTTTTTAAATACAAATTACAACCACTCACTGTATTTTTTATCAAATGTCGGTTTAACAAAGGAAATGTGCATTTGCAATGTGCTGTTAGTTTTCAGCTACAGATTAATATAGATTTGGATATCTCATGGCAATCCACCAAAATGTCAGCCAAAGACGTCAACCTCATGGTGGGACTGCAGGAAATGTCAGGGTATCACCAAAGTCAGTAGGATTTATTCTGTGGGGACCATAGATGTGTGTTCGTCCAAAAAGAATGACTGTACAAAATTATTTCATGGCAGCTTCAGCTTTCAAAGGTACTTTTAAAACCATGGAGTGATTTCATCTCAGCTCATTAGTCCCCCATCCCTGTATCTATGATGTCTTGTTTTTTTTCCTGAAGTTTTATCACTTCATCTCTTACAGTTTCTCTTGATTCGTTACACTGCCTGTAAGGTTCGTCTCTCTTCCCTTAGGTTGCTCAGGAGAGCTGCGATGCCTGCGACGCCTCTCTCGTTGCGGTGGACTTCAACAAGACTCGCACTCCACTTCCTGCTGGCGAAACCCAACACACCGGCTGTGTTTTCTGTGATTCGATCTTCCAGGATCTGGTGGAGCTCAAACATGCAACCATGAGGCACGGCAGGGGTGGGGGTGCTAGACGAGGAGGACGGGGACGAGGGAGGGGACGCCGTGGCAATCCTAAAAAACCTAAAGACAAAATGGCTGCCTTGGCAGCTTACTTTGTATAGTGTCTGTGTGTAGTGTGCCCTGTTAGTTGCTTGACACATAGTATAAAGATGTATACTGTAAGTAAAGGGACTTCTGTTTTTACATGTGTGTTTAATGACACTGCAGTAAAATATGTATTTTTAAAAAATGTTTGCTGTAAGCCTGTTTGTTCCCCATCAAACATCAAAAAAGTTTTCATTAGTGTATAATCACCTAAAAAAAAGAATGATTGTGTTTTCGTTACCTTAGAGTGAGCTGTTTTTATCTACAGAGGGAGCGTCATGTTGAAACAACATGTTTCTACAGTAGCCAAGAACGGACAAACCAAAAACTGGCTGTAGACAGGGTTTTTGGCGTTTTAAACTGTTTTGGGGATCACCGTAGTTTCTCCTACATGCTTGGAAGTGGAGGGTGAGGCAACGGGGTTGTCATCTGCAACTACACTGCTAGTAGATGTCACTAAATCCTACACAAGGACCAGCATTTAAATTCTAGCAGGCACACTGCTCATCATGCTAACACACGTGCGGTTATTAATTCTAACATAAACTTATTATGCTATAGCATGACACAACTGTCACATTTGTACAAAGATATATGCATAATTTATCATGCAAGCGTTTAGTAAGTTGGCGTTTAACATGTTAGCAATACGTTTCGTTTTCCATTTCCAGGACAAATACTGATGTTGACTTTATGCTTTCATTTTCACTTTCCATTTTCAAATTGCCATTTTTCAATATAATTTGTAATTCTTTGTCATAAGTAAAGCTGTAACAATAAGTCGATTACTCAAGTAGCCAATCCACAACTTTGACAATTTGATTCATTATTTAAGTCAAGCTGAATCCAGCTTCTCAAATGTGAGGATGTGATGCATGTCTTTAAAATGAATACTTTGGGTAATAAATTTGGCGAGTATAAAAAGCCAGTCTTGACCTACCTCGATCTTTAGGAAATTAACTTACTAACTTACTGACATTTCATTCACACATATATGTATCAAGGAAACGATCAGCAGATTAATCGATAGTTAGACTAGGTTGCAGCCCTATCAAAGAACACCTTTCCAGTTTATTTTTTTCCTTGTAAGCTATTCATGGCGTTATAACTCTTTGTAGTAGAATATAATAATACCTACCATTTTCGGTCATTTCATTAATAGTCGGTCTGGCCCTTTAAATCTGCAGCGGAAGAAGGAGGGAAGTGTGATGACGTAGAGGAGGGTGGTCCAATAGTGTGTTGAGCAAACCGCAGATCTGTTAACGTTATTGATAGTACACTGTGATTGAGTTATTACCATCAGTCGTTTTTACCATCAGTTCAACCAGCGCAGGTTTGTGTTTGTGTGCGTTATCAATGACTCTTTTTTACTCTTTGTCTCGCTAAAGGGCGTGTTTCCCTCAGCTGTCCGCCTGTAGTGTGTGTAGGCGTAACGTTACTACGCCAAGAGACTTAGCTAGCCTCAGGTAAGATGAAGAAACAGCCTTCCGCTACTCTGGAAAATTATCATTTTTAAACTAATGTAGCCAGTAATGACCCTAATGTAATAATTCGTTTTGCCGAGCGCATGTAACGTTAACTTACATGACAGTGTAACATAAATGTTGCAACCGTGAGAAGGCTGCGGTCAATACGAGGGACGATAACTTTGAGCACACACTGTCATAACACGTTAAGCCATGCGAGTTTTACATGTTTGGGAAACCACAATAAATAAAATTGAGTGGCTATGTTGTGAGCATTTGGTTGGTTATATCCTTACAGCCTCAATAGCTGTGGCACACGCCTTTCCCTCTGATGTAGACATAACGTTACGTAGCTAATCTTTGTTCTTACTGTAGCTAACTTTACATATTCGCTTTTGAATTTAGCTAACGTTGCGTAGTTTACAGTTACTGTAACTGCTAGCACTGTTTGTTTAGTAAGTTGTATTCATTGTTTATTCCAAGAAATGTGTTGAAAGCAGTAACACTTAACACCAACCTGCCACCCAGCACGGTGTATACCAGTGTATGGGTGTAACTTAAAGCTACTATATTTTTAGCACATTAATGTCCACATTGGAATTTTCTTTATACTACTAAAAGTATAGCAGAGCTAAGCACAAAGTGTTTGAGTTTTCACTGTAAAGGCTCTGCTACACTTAATGGAACAGAACCTCAATTAGTATCACTGGTAGCACCTGTGATTACACTACTGTTTCATGTCAAAATGGCTGCTGTGGAAAAGGTCTATTAAGGCATGATACATATGGGAAATCAAAACAGTTAGAATTTGTCATGTGTAGCAACATGTCCTGACAGTTTCTACAGCAGATTTCGTTTCCACCTCAAACGGGAAAATATCTGCGGTGCTTTTCCTTAACATGCTAAATCTGGCCAATCATGGGTTAATAAGAAGAGGCAGCCTCCTCTAGGTTAGATGATGATGGCGGCTTGCTGCTTGCCATTTCCCCAAGACAAACATGAAATGATTATGATGTGGTATAAATAGAAAAGAATTGTGAGATACTAAGCAACATTTGGTCCTAGTCTGAAAATTATGAGATGGCAAAGATTTTTGATTTACTCAGTCTCATAATTTCTATGTAGTAAGTCAAAGATAAAGTTTAAGAAAGTTAGTCAAAGTCACAATGTGAGTAAGTGTAGTGTCTCAGTGACAGGTAATAACAATATTATTATAGTAATGGAATAATATTTTTTTATGAGTGTATTTCTCAGAGTTGTTTTCAGGTGGGAATTCAAATCTGTGATATGTACTGCATTAATTCTCCATCACAGTTCCCTGTTCACCTGAGAGCTTACTACAGCCAGAGTCAGCAGGATGGAGGAGGAGGAGGAGGCCAGGTGCTTCCTGGGGAGGTTTGTGGAGGATTTCCCAGCTGCTCTGGAGGAAGACAGTCCACTGCCTGTCAACCCTCTCAGCCGCAAAGTCTCGCAGGAGGAGCTGCTTGGAGAGAGCCTGGAGCTGGGCCTGAGGCTGCTGGCTGCCAGGTACGACCAGGAGGGACAAGTACACAGCATGCATTGTACATTTTACTTTGGTAGGCCTTGAGAATAGACAAACCCCACAGCAGTGCAACAATAAATACATACACAGTGAGACTGAATGTCCTATGCTCTTAATGTTCTTCTGCCTGATTAAAGTCATAATTAAAATCTAATATCACTTATTTTATTAAAAGTATACTAAATCACAGCGTAAATCTTCTTATTCTGCCCGATAATTATAGTGCAACCCATGCACTTCAGTGATAGTGTAACAGTTGGCTGTCACGTAAATGAAAAACCTGGTTCCCAAAATCACAGTAGTTGCACTCAGAGAAACTGGGTTTCACCGAGTACATTTCTCTTGGGGAATGACAATTTCTCTGCCATGTATAGGGGTAACCATGGTTTTAACTGGTAATTGAGGTAATTACACTGTCCTCAGATATTTCTTTTCGGTGCGAGAAGTAGTAGAGCGTGTCCCCCATGTACTAAGGCTGAGTTCTTACTGCAAAGGCCCAGATTCGATTGCAGCCAAGAGCCAATTTGCTGCATGTCTCTCCCCCCCCCTCTTTCCTTTCTCACTTGACCTGTCCTGTTCAATAAAAGCTTGGAAGCCCAAAATCATTTTTACTGTAACTAAATTCACACACTTTTGCACTGTGAGGAGGGGCTCTGCTCTGTCTGACTGGCTTCCAAAATGTAGTTTGGAGTAAGGAAGAATTCTGATTACTGCCCTACTGCCATTTACATGCAGATTTATAGTAGCCAGGTTACTATGGCGCATGTAAATACGTTTTCCGATTACCTGCACTTAAGTGCATGTACGTACACTGACTAGCGGTCTCCCTCTCCATAGGATGCTTAACTCCATGGATTTTTATCTATGACAACCGCATTGATGGATTTATAAATATCCTGCAAAACACACACAAGAGTCCCAACCTATCGTGTTGTCATTTTCTGCTTGTGCACTGTACAAAATAAAAGAATTCTCTAAGAAATTCTGAAATTGATGAGAAAATGTGTGGGGAGGTCAATAATTGTTTAATAGCAAAAACTGTCCGTGTTGCAGCTTGTGAGAGAACAATTAACAAAACTCTTCTTTCTTCATTTTTTCACATATACAGGATTTTCCAACTCTGCACTGTTTTCTAGAAGTGACACTGCTCCCTCTGTGGACTAAATGACTAATATTGTGTTAGCATTGTAACTCTTTCTGAAACCACCCTCCTGTCACGTCTGAATAAAGTAGCAACGGACATTTACATGACATACATCTCTGCCAGAATGACAAAATGCCAGCACTTTAACAGATAAAGCCAGTATTGTACAAAGGCCTACCAGTTCCTCGCAAGTATTCCATGTCTGAAAAGGGCTTTTGAATGTAGAGAAAACCGTGTTGGGTTTATTAATTTACTCCACAGTGTGTCTTGTGTGTGTCCTACCACAGCACATTACAGTCCAATGTTTAAATCACTGCAAAATGTACACACAGGGCCACATGTGATAAACGTATCTAAATGGAAGAATAGCTGCACAATTAAAAAGGTTTTTGTTTGTTTGTTTTCCCATCATAGAATTCTCACTAGCACTAGTGTCAGTGTAGTTAATGCAGGAGTATCTGCCCATCTTTTGCATGTGTGGCTGCATTCCTCACATTCCTGACAGCTCTGCTCTTGCTCTGCTCTTGCCCTGCTCACCCAGTATGCATGGTTAGCTTTGCTGTTTGACACTCACACAGCAGCGGACACAATAATAGATGCTGACACACTGTATAAAAGTGACAGCAGAAAAGTACCAAACCATAGCTGTAAAAGACTTAACCTGTAACATAACAACGGAGGCCAGGCCCAGTGGAGGAGCCAGAGGAACCTATTTTTTTCACAGATCATCTGTCTCATGTACTACTGTCAGGACACAGTGCAAATTTTAGCAATAATGACAATAAGTTGTATAAAAGTTACAGAATGCAGCTTTAAGTATAAAAAGTGTGTGTTGGATATATGTTACAGTCAGAAGAGGGTACCATGTGAATGTAGCAACGAACTCAAGCTGCCTCAACTAGCCTGCAGGCCCCACCTGATTAATTCCAGATTAGTGCGGATGCTATTAGTAATTTGATCCATAAATCAAAAAATAATCAACTATACAGATACTGTAAATAATATCATTTAAACTAAAAACTACATTTTTTAAGCAAAATGCCAAAAATGTGCTCGTAACTGATAATTTAATGTGTAATAATTTAGTTTTGTCAAATTGTTGGTTGGACAAAATGAGCTCTTCTGACATGCATTTCACTATTCTTAAATGAGTTCATCATAGATGGACCTTGTTTACCCTACAAACTGGCTGCTGTGAAAAAGTTCTATTGTTAGTTATTAGTTATACTGCTGTCCTTTTCAGAATAGAATATGGAATATGTAACATTATGTGCTTCATTTATCTATTAAAGTTTTTGTCATTCAGAGAAATAAATGACAAATGTGTCAGTTCCATAAACATTCCTCATGACTTAATTGGACAGTATGAGGTTGTTAGTGGAAGCAGAAGACAGGAATTCAGCTTCCTGTTTTATAATGGCAGATCTTGCACAAGCAATGAATGAGAAGATGTTAACTCAGTTGTTTTGCTTGTGTCCTGCAGTTTGCAGAGATTAAACTTCAGTTGTAAGTTTTTGTGTTTTTGTTTTTTTTGTCTCTTTTGCCACTCTTAGCAGTGGGAAATGAAGTGCTAAACCCTGCTCATAATAAGACGAACAAGATATGCATCACTCTGTACTGTGGCAGCCTTTAAATTAAGCCTAATTAGTAACTAGGAGTGTTTAACTGGTTATAAAACAGTGTCAATTTAATACTGATGCCTCTATATGACCTATGGAGTCTGGTCAGAACTTCTTGAAAGTCCTGAAAAGATGTCCCTTCTTAGTTGTTTTGCTGTAATGGAGAGCCTTAGAACAGCTAGTAGTGAACCTTTAAGCTCAGCTTAAGTTAGAGTTGGAAAATACAAAATTAAAAAAATTAAAATCATTGCCATGTGTGTGCTCTCTTCTATGCTTTATTATTTTTTTAAGAAGTATGCCCTGTCAGGACGACTTTATATCCTGTCTGTAGAAACAGCATTGTTCTCCCGACTTCCTGTTTCCTAAACCCAGTCTTGTCTGCAACAGAAATGTAGTTCTGTAAAGGAAAAGGAGTGACTGATGATCTCACAGTTGGATGTGCATATACCAGCAGCACTCTTTAAATGACCATTGACCATGGTCACATTATATTTAACCCCTTTGTGTACGCTTGTTTATTTCTGCATTGAAGTGGATCAGTCACCTCTGGCTGTATTGCTGTGTGTCACTTGGCTGAAAAGTCTGGTGAGAAATGAATCACGTATCACGTTCAGATCTTGCCAAAATACACAACATGTATTTCTGCTTGTCTTTGTTGGTTCAGGGATGCTCCTGCGGGCCTCAGTGCTGTCCTGTGCCAAGCAGCACTGTCCCAGCTACTGCAGAACGACCTTTCACCTTTCCACTGCCTGCAGGAAGCTGAGGCTGACCACAAAGAGGAACAGAAAGTCGTCTGTAAGTATTTAACCTCATGCTCATTTTGGAGGCTGTAGCTTGTAATGCTGTTAAATTGTATTGTGTTATACTGAGGGGTCTGTATTTAGTCTGCCGTCATGAATGGAGGTCTGTTGTCGGGACGAGCACTAAATCTCCACTGCCACTTGGGGGAGGTCCTCTGTGTTCACCAGCTAGTCTCTAACTGTGTCTGTCTGCTGTTTGGTGCTGCACAGGTTGTGTTCAGTGGCTTTATTAGAGCTTTGCCACTGAAAACAAATGCCAAACCATGAGAGTGGAGTCTGTCATGTATTTCAATGTATATACCAATAGGAAAAAGTAGTAAGAACCAAAAGACAGTGTGATTGATTTCCTGTTTATTTTATCTTACCAATAGTACTTGAGGCAGTGGCAGTGCAACGTCTCTTCCTAAACAAGCTGATAAATGTGGCGCTTGCATGGCATCAAAACTTCCCAAAGCTCCCACCCGCCCCCTCTCGTTTCCTCCGCTGCTCTGTCCACGCCATCAAGAACACGAGGAGGAAGATGGAGGATAAGCACGTGGCCCTGGCTGAGTTCAACCAGCTCTTTGGGATCCAGGTAGAAGACTTTCCCTGCAACACCTAACACTGAAACCAGATATCAAAACACCTTCAAGATTCATAAAAATCTTGATAAACACTTATTTGACTTCTATCTCTCTCTATACCATGGTCCAGGATGGAGTGGAGCGTGCCTACTACGCTGTGTTCGATGGCCATGGAGGGGTGGACGCTGCCACCTATGCTGCCACTCACCTCCATGTTGCTCTCAGTAAACAGGAGGCCCTGCAGAGTGACGCATCCACAGCCTTTAAAACTGCCTTCAAACATACAGATGACATGTTCAGAGGCAAAGCCAAGAGAGAGGTACTGATTATTTTAGTATTCTGCTTCAACATTTACACTTTCACTCCATTTCATGTTTGCATTAAGTCCAACCGACAATGCTGATTGGCCAGCTGCTATGTGTCGCCATTCAGAGGTCCTACCACTGGAGTTTTGGGTTCTGGGAGTGCAGTGCTGGAACCCAGGTTGATAGATAACGTGTGTATGTTGTCAGCGTCTGCGGAGCGGCACTACAGGCGTGACGGTGTTGATCCAGGGTCAAGAGATGACTGTGGCCTGGCTTGGAGACTCTCAGGCATTACTGGTCAGAAAGGGACAGGCTGTAACACTCATGGACCCCCATAAACCAGACAGAGAGGTAGGAATATCACACTTACACAAACACATACACACAGCTCTCTGTGTCACCAGAAGAGCTTATTTTACTCACCCAAAGCCGACAAAAGGCCTTTCCCCCTTCACCACCATAGCAACAATTGTTCCATGTATATACAACACACCTCTAATGCTACTATCACGTCAAATTCGTTTTTGATTTGGTGACCCATGAACTGTATGGCACCACCCTAGGGTCAAATAGTGCACACACATCTTAGGGGAAGATTACCATGAAGTTTAGTGCTCTGTGTGACAAGGTACCAGGTAAAGGTACAAACCTTTACCTGGTTAAACAATTGGTAAGTGATAGCAAAATTGTTAGTATGTTCGTTGTTCTGTTTGTCACTTTTACACTGTGGGTGCAATGACAGCTGTAGCCTCCAGGGGACTCTAGAGGGGTGCTTTTACATACATGTCGACAGTTACAACAAGTTACTGCACATGTTCAGATAAAATAAATGGTGGGAAAGGTGATCACATGGTAAAGATGTTCTCTTTTGTCCTTCACTGTCCAGGATGAGAAACAGAGAATTGAGGATCTTGGTGGCTGTATCACCTTCATGGGTTGCTGGCGTGTCAACGGAACCTATGCTGTATCCAGAGCTATAGGTAGGTCAATCACATCCAACAAGAACAAGGAACACCAGATTTGTATGGAATCCCTCTTTTCACTGCCGTTAACATTAGAATAAACTCAATTGTGCCTTTCTTTGAGGCTGTAGCAAGAAGGCTTAAAAGGCATTCAAATATTGCAGTAAATGCATTAAATTAAAGATTTACACTTACTTCTGGCTATAAGAAGGAATCAGTAATTATATCAAATAACAGAATTTAACTTGCAATAAATTCCCCTCGGGCCGCCACCCTTCGAAAAGGGAAACTTGAAAGCCAGTTAAATTAGTCTCAGCCTAACGGTTGCTGGAGTTCTTGACTTGTGTACAGTGACTGCAAAACAAAAACACATGAAACATGGGTCTTTAGAAAATGCAAGGTTTATTAAACTACTAAGTAATGAATGCATTTAATAAATGAATGAAATAACAAACAGAGTGATGATTAATGAATGAATGAATGAATAAAGGCAGGATTCCCATGCGTCTTGGGAAATCTAACAAACAAACAAAGACAAATTTTCCAGTCAGGGAAACATCTGGAAATTGATTAAAATGGTGACATTTTCTGGAAATTAACTATATCGTCCTGGGAAAATGTAATTGTATTTTAGCCCTTCACTCAGATTAAGTAAATCTGGGTGCGTATTTAGTTTGAAACCCGACTGTTGGTAGGGTAAACTGCATGCTATGATACTTGAAAGCATGTTTACCAGGCGCAAAGCGGAATAAAACATTTTATATTTTATCTATTATATTATATTATTATATCTTTTCTCTTTCGTGTTGGCTAATAGGTGGCGCTACTATCATGAAAAGTGTGTTTAGTAGGGGTGTAACGATTCACCAAATCCACGGTTCGGTTCAGACCTCGATTTTTGAGCCACGGTTCGGTTCATACCGCGGTTTTCCCCGTTTCCCCATTTT